GCCAAGCCAGGGTTGGGATGGGAAGACCCTGACCCTAATGCTAATGCTGACTCTAATGCCAACCTGCGCCCCAGCTCTAGGCTGCAGCAGAGCCCTCATATCCCCTTTAAGCTCCAGCCATGGCTGAGCTCAGCAAAACCACACCGAGGCCAGCGAGTCCTTGGTTCTGCCCAGCTGCTCTCCTCCATCCCCAGCCCCACTGGAGAGCCAGCCCCCACCACTGATCCCAAATCCATTCCTTCTCCTGGATGTTTTCCCACACTCAGCAAACGCTTGGATTAGCCTCTTCCTGCAGCCCTGCGTGCAGGCACCCCCAGAGCTGGGGCTGGCCGTGGGGGAGCCCGGCACCACCGGCATACCAGCAAGTGCTGTGACAGCCATCACCTGGCCCCGGCATCTGCTAGCCTTTCCTGTGACATGGAAGGCCCCAAAGCCTCTGGTGTGCGTGTGGAGAGGGAAGGGAAGGGAAGGAAGAGGCTGGTCCCAGTGCCAAAGGGAAACTTCCCTGCGGCTTGGCCTTGGCCAGGGGAAAAACCAACAAACACCCGGGCCCGTGCTGTGGATAAATCCTAGTGAGTGCAGGAGCCTGGCAGAGCCGTACCGACAGAACCTCATCTCATCCAGCCCCGGCATGATGCTCCTCGTCCTGCTGACAGCCTGGCTGGCCATGGGCATCCTGCAGCTGCCCCCCAAGTGCCCCCCGCCACGCCACAACACCAGCTACGTCAAGACCTCTGCCTTGTGAGTACTGTGTGTGGCTTGGGCTGCGTCATCACCCTGGGGATGGGTCCTGTGCTCCAGGGGACCATATTGTGTGGCAAATTGCCTGGGTGTGGTTGGCACGCTCCCCGTTGGTGGCTGGGGATGCACTCCAGTACATGGTAGCTTCATGCAACGTCCTGTCCCCCAAGAGCTCCAGGCTGCACATGCTACCATGCTACACATCCAGGCAGTGCTGTCAGCTGTCATTCAGCAGGCAACAAGCCCCCGGCTCCATTCTTGAGGCTGAGTTGCTTTGCAGCTGAGCACAAGCCACCCAGTCAGAGGAGCATCCTTGCTCCTGCTCATAGAATCAGAGAACAGTTTGGGTTGGAAGGGACCTTCAAAGGGCATCGAGTCCAACCCCGTGCAATGAGCAGGGACATCCTGTACATCTGAGCCTGGCTCCATCCCTAGCCTCCAGCTGGGACTGTGGTACCCCTATTCCCAGCCTCAGAGTTTGACCCAGAGCTGCATCCCTGCAAGGCATGGCATTTGCCTGGTAGAGGCAGGGTGGGACAGAGATCCGATGCTGGGCACACTTAGATGTGAGTGTCTTGGGTTGCTCTGCCCAGCTTGTGGCATGGGCTCGGCTAATTGGCAAGGATGCAGGCAGCTCCCTGAGAGCCAAAGCACGGCACTGAGCAGCAGTTCCCCTTCTGGCAGCCAGTGCCTGGAACCCATGCCCCATAGGGAGCCGAGCCTGCCACCAGGCCCCTACCTCCATCTCCTTCCACTACCTGCTGCTCTGGGCCAACCACACTGTGCCCCACGTGCTCTTCAAGATGACCACCACCCGCTTCGGGGGTGACAGCCTGCACTTTGCATCACTGGTGGCCAGGGCTGGGGTGTCTTTGCTGTGAGGCGCTCCGCCCGCAGGCAGGAGAACTGGTGATCACCAGCCCCGTGGTGGGACCAGCCACACTGGAGGTGGAGCTGGAGATGAGCGAGTTCTCCCACAAGGCCCTCCTGGGCAAACACGTCTTCAAGGTCACAGCTTTTGTGTCCCCACATGAGTTTTGAGCTCATTTGGAGGCGGGTGTGGGGCCAAGCCTGGGTTTCTCCCAGGAAGTGATGAAGTGGGTTCAGCTCAGTGTTCCCAGTTTTTGGCCCATTAGAGACATCCCTCTCCTGTAATGCTTGCTCAAGGCTGGTTCTGCAAAGCCACCACAGTGAAACCTGTCAAAAAGTCTACAAGGAAAGCCCTGTGCCCCCACTCTGGGGGTGCCTGCCTCTGCCAGCACCCCTGGCACACCAGGGGACTTGGCAGAGAGAGCTGGCAGCAAGTGACATGGTCCAGCTCCTTGTATCCTCTAATAAAAGTGTCTTTAGGAAGGGTGTCTTCCTTGCTCTGCTTTCTACATGGGAGCAGCCCCATGCTCCTGGTGCAAGGCTTCTGGGGTGAGTTGGTGTCATAGTCACAAGAAGGGTGCCCTTGCAGATCTCGGGGTGCCAGTATCATGGGGTCATGCAGTGTTCATGTTCCTCCCAGCACCAGTGTTGTTGGGGGCACACTGAAGATCCCCCCAGTGCAGGACTGAGAGATGGGTTGCACATACTGCCCTGCATGTCCTGCACAGCCAAGGATCATCACCAGCCCCTTTGGCAGGTACCAGGAAAGCGCAGTGGGGCACCCTCACTCCAGGCAAGGAGGGGATGGTGACTGGGGGCCACGCTTCCTTCAGGCCATGCTTCCCTGTGGCTAGGAAACTTCCCCCTGCAACTGCTCCAACAGGAGCTGATCCTATGGGCATATGAGCCCTGCAGCTCACTGAGCACTTGAGCTGCTCCCCTGCTCCTGACTCAGTTTAAGAAGGACAGGGACCTGCTGGAGAGAGTCCAGCGCAGGGCAACTAAGATGATTAAGGGAGTGGAGCATCTCCCTTATGAGGAAAGACTGAGGGAGCTGGGTCTCTATAGTTTGGAGAAGAGGAGATTAAGGGGTGACCTTATTAGTGTATATAAATATATAAAGGGGGAGTGTCCCGAGGATGGAGCCAGGCTCTTCTCAGTGGCAAACAATGATAGGACAAGGGGCAATGGGTACAAACTGGAACACAAGAGGTTCCACTTAAACCTGAGAAGAAACTTCTTCTCAGTGAGGGTGACAGAACACTGGGACAGGCTGCCCAGGGAGGTTGTGGAGTCTCCTTCTCTGGAGACATTCAAAACCCGCCTGGACACGTTCCTGTGTAACCTTATCTAGGTGTTCCTGCTCCGGCAGGGGGATTGGACTGGATGAGCTTTTGAGGTCCCTTCCAATCTCTAACATACTGTGATACTGTGATACTGTGTGAGTGGGCAGCAAGGACACAAGAGGTGCAGCCCCCCCCATTCCATGGACACCCCCTGCCATACCAGCACGGCCAGATCAATGCACGGGGAGAGCCTCCAGCAGCTGGAGGTTGAAAAGGTGATGAGGGCCTTTGGGGACAGCAAGTGAAGGACATGCTGCCCTCAGGACACCCTTCCCTCTGCACACAGAGGCCTTCTGAGGTGAGTGTCTGGCTGGCCCCTCGCACGAAGCAGCCGCTGTTCACAGACAGCAGGAGGCTCATAAAGAAGTCCTTATGCACCCGTGGCCACACTGCCACCAGCTCTGCTCGCCAGCACCCAGGATTGGCACCGCTGCTTTGCTGCAGGAGAGGCTTGCAGGGCTGGCCTGTGCCAGCTGAAGACTGAGCCCAGATGCAGAGCAGAGAACTCCAAGGTGTCCCAGCCAAACTGGGCACCCCAAAGGTGGTTTTGCACAGGTTTCCTATACCCATCAAACCTTCAGGTACAAGACAACTTGGCTAATTGCAGTCACTCACATTACCGGTACTCATCACAGTACAACTTTGCAAAGAAGTGGTATTTTTCCAGGAATCCTGCTGCTTTCTTGTTGATCCAGATGTCCCTGGAGTTTTGCTGGGGTTACAGTGATGCCAGATAATGCTGGGAGGGTTTTGAAGCTGTGTCAGAGTGGTTGGGATGCTGGTATTTTATTGGCTGACCTAGGGGACCCTTTATCCTTCATGGCCCACTTCCATGAAGCAAAGTCCTTATTTCCAGGGCCGGGCTGTGCTTTCATCTGTTTTACTTAAGCATGAACGATAACAGATTCTTCAGGAAAATTCCACTACCCTGTCACATTGCACTGTATAATTTTAATATATTAACTATAGACTGGTTGATACAATAGTGAGGAAAGGGAATTTCCCTGACAGCTTCCAGGGATTGGATGGGTGGCTCCAGCTCACAGCCAGCTGCCAGTCCTTCCGCTGCCTGCTCCCAGAGCCTCCCAGACCCGGCCACCTGCAAAGTCACAGAATCCCAGAGTGGTTTGAATTGGAAAGGACCTCAAAGCTCATCCAGTTCCAACCCCTCTGCCACAGGCAGGGACCCCTTCCACTGGAGCAGGTTGCTCCAAGCCCCTGTGTCCAACCTGGCCTTGAGCACTGCCAGGGATGGGGCAGCCACAGCTTCTCTGGGCACCCTGTGCCAGGGCCTCAGCACCCTCACAGGGAAGAGCTTCTGCCTAAGAGCTCATCTCAGTGTCCCCTCTGTCAGGTTCAAGCCATTCCCCCTTGTCCTGTCCCTACAGGCCCTTGTCCCAAGCCCCTCTCCAGGTTTCCTGCAGCCCCTTTAGGCACTGGAGCTGCTCTCAGGTCTCCCCTTCAGGAGCCTTCTCTTCTCCAGGCTGCCCCAGCCCAGGTCTCTCAGCCTGGCTCCAGAGCAGAGCTGCTCCAGCCCTCGCAGCATCTCTGTGGCCTCCTCTGGACTCGCTCCAACAGCTCCACCTGCAAAATCTCGAGTGTTTTAATGAAAACACAGCCAGCATCACCAGCAACACTTCACAGCCGGCTCTGGGGGCAAACACAGGCACCCTCAGCTCCTCCCAAGGGGTCCCTCAGGCCTTCCTAATTCCCAGAAGGACTCACCACCACCCCGCAGGGGTGAAAGGCTGGGATGGAGGCATGGTGCAGGCTTTTTCCAATCCAAATTTACCAAGTGGGAAAACCCTTTCGCATGTAAATCCCCTGACTACCACCCGAAGAACACACCTCTCCACAGAAGCCTGGAGCCTGCAGTGGCCAGGTATAGCATGATGTGGTGGCCAGGTCCTGGGTGTGGGTCTCGCTGCCGCCGCAGGCCCCCGGTATCCGAGCCTGCGGGCGCAGAGAGGAATCCACATGCAGGTTCCTAGTGGTCCAGGGCTCGCTTCTCCCGGCCCCACTCCTTGGAGCAGTCCGGTCGCGCCACAAGGTTTTTGTCCCCTTCGCCCTCCCGTAGCCCATTCGTTTCCACAGCGACAGGCGCAGCGGTTTAAGCCGCGCGAAGGTTCCGGTAGCCGCCGGGCTGGGTTTAGCCGGGGGCCTCACTGCCCGCCTTGGGCATGAGGCGGGTACGGGGCCGCTGTCAAACGGCTCTGCGGGGAGAAGGTGAGGAGACGGCGGTGGCGGTGGCGGAGCAGCGAGAGCGTTTATTGGGACCCTCCTGGAGCGGCTGCACGGCGCACGGCCTGACCGGTTTTCAAGCTCTCTCCTGCTGCCGGAGACTGAACACAGGAAGGCTTGAACCTGGTAACTCCCGGGTGATTTATAGCGAAATAGTTAATTTGTATAGTTACCAACTGTCCCGCACCCGTAAAACCTGAGATTTAACTGGTACGGCCTAAAGAATCCACTGTGCAGGGTGGAAGGGCTTACTCTCACTTGTCTGTATGGAGGGGCGAGGGTCAAAACGGTAGGTGACAAGGTGCATGGGAAGCTGCAAGAGCCAACGTTGCATGCGGGCGGACCAGCGCATGGGTAGCTCGAGTTAGCTCAGGAGGTGACAGTCGTGGTTTGACACTTCCTGATCGCCTAAGCAGCCTTTTTCCCAGGTTTGCATATACCACATGTCCTTGGTCATCGTGCTTGTAGTAAGTGTGGTTAAAGCCCTTCCCAAATCTTTGCTCGTGAAGCCAAGCCATCATAGTTACCAACTGTGTTACCTGTCCTGAGGGTGACTCTGTGTGCTGTTTCTGTGCTCGGTCTTTTCCATAGCTGGGTAGAACGGTGTCACTGCATAGGGCAGCCCACTGGGAACGGGAGATGCTGTATTCTGAAGTCTCCTCACACGTAGGTTTGCTTTTCATCAGTTTTGTGGATAATCAATGCAGCAGCCACAAGAGAAGTCATTGGCAGACAAGAGGAACTTTGCTTCTGAAAGGGGATGGCAGTGTTACATGCAGCTTGTTTTCTTCTGGAGAGTCTCTTGGCAGAGACATGGCTGTGGGATGGTTGCAGCCTTAGGGATGGTTTATGCAGAAGGTTTATGCTCACCTGAGTGTAAACAAAATCGTGTCAAATTGTACCCACGTTCTTGGCATTAAACGTTAAAACCACGTTAAAACCAGCAAAATCTTGCAGCAAAACAGGGATTCCAGGCTGAATGTGGGCCTGGAATGGAGAATGATTAGTAGTTATTTCTCATAATTGATGAACCAGTTGCTGTGTAACAATTTAAAGCAGGCAGATATTGCTAATTTCTTCAATGGCTGAAGTTAGGGATTACTTTGTTTGCTAGCCTGCTTGTTGGTAAGACTGTGCTGATGTGTATAAATTACTTTCTTTCTCTCTTGCATTCAACGGTAACAGCTGTCTTTCTCCTTCCCAGTAGCTGGTGCAGTGCTGTGTCTGGGCCTTAGTCTGAGAGCAATGCCAGTAACACACCCATGTTTTAGTTGCTGCTCAATAGCACTTACCCTGATCAAGGACTTTTCAGTCTCATGCTCTGCCAGGAAAGAAGGGCACGGGAAGTCTGGAAGAAGCAGAGACAGGACATCTCACCCAAACTAGCTAAAGGGGTATTCATTCCGTACCGTAGCACGTCATGCCCACTATGTAAACTGGAAGGGACCAATCACTGCTCCAGTTGGGCTGTGTATCAGTCAGTGGGTGATGAGCAATTGCATTGTGCATCACTTGTGTTTATTGTTTGTTTGTTCTTTTTTCCCCTTTTTACTTTTATATTCATATTCATATTTATATGAAGCATCTCTCCAGGACTGGGGCTCAGTCACAGTGTTTTTGAATCACATATTTTTTTGTCTTCTGTTTTTGATTTCTGTAGATGAATATCTGCAATAAACCTCCTAATAAGACAGCTCCAGAGAATTTGGGTCAAGCTGTTCCTGAGGTGCAGGTCCAACGTGCTCGGAGGAATGGCTGGAGCTGGCCTCTGCACATATTCCAGATTACTGGATGGTTGCTGTGCCTCTTCTTTGCGCTGGTTGGCTTTGGAATCCTGGTTCCTCTCCTGCCCCGCCACTGGCTGCCTGCTGGCTATATCGTATCCTTTGGTCAAGAAGAGGACATGGACTGTAATAAGCTATCAGTTGTTAGGTAGCATAGCAAGCATAGGAGAAAGCAGTTGAGCCAGAGCCTTTTTCTGAATTATAACCATAATCTTGATCTTCTGTTTATAAAAACAGTTACTTTAAGATCCTCTCTGCCCTTATACTTTAGGTAAGTCACTGACATCCCGCTCTTCTTCATCACTCTGTTAAGGTTCCTGTCTTTGGCTCCAAGGCTCTTCTGGTGTCTGCTTCTACCTATGTGTCTCCTTTGCTTTATATTATTCTTCTATGAGTGTAATGCAGGGTTTCAGGGAATTTCTACTAAGAAAGCGCCTCCTGAAACATCCTTGCTACTGTGAGCAGTCATACCTCCCTGTGCTGACAACATGAGTCTGGAAAGACAGCTTTGTATGTTTGTGATTATATAGCATGGTTGCTTGTGATGGCTGGCAGTTGGTCTTGCTGTCTTCTGTAGAAAATGTATGAGTGACAGACAAGGTGGTGTAGTGGGAACCTCAGAGGAGAGGTCTGTCTGTCTTGAGCAGCAGTGGCGTACGTCTCACTGCCCTCTAAATGTGTGCAGTATCAGAAGATGATACTGTGAAGGCATCTTATGTGCTGGGTCTCATATGCTGCCCAGCAAAGCCTCCCTCAGCTCAGCCCAATGTGTTTTCCACCTCCTCTCTTCAACCCACCTCTTAGAGATGTGCGTGCTTGCTGATCCCACAGCTGGGATTGGGAGAGGGACTGGAGAGGGGGTGTGCTGTGAGCAACTCCAGTGCTCCCAGTGCCACCCTGTGCTGCTGCCTCCATGCAGAGGGGGAATGTCCTCAAGGCCAGGCCTTCAGGCTCCTTGTATGGCTCCTTGTGGATTAAAGGCTCCTCATGGATTAGATTGCCTGGGGACTGGTAGATTGGAGCGTGTAGCCTGAGATTTTAATTATTGCTTAAATTTTGAGCAAGTGTTTGCTTTTGACATCTTCCTGGTGAAAATAAAACTAAGTGGTTCAGTGTCACTTAGTGCTTTCTTAGCAGAACCAGATAACCAAAATATGTTACAGACAGAATGGTGGGAAAAGTTCTGAAGAGATGGGATATGTACTTACTTCATTTATACTCTGATTTATGGATGTCCATGGAGCCTTTGATATGTTTGGGATGCTTTTGCTTACCGTCGTTTTAGTTACACCTGTGTGATTCTGGCATTACTATCATTAACTCTCAATGGTCTTATGTCTACTTATCTTACTCAAATTCCTGGTATTATCACAGTTCAAACCTTGTAAATTTGTCTACCAAATATCTTCATAACTCAATCTAAAGTCACTCCAACAGAGCAACGTGTCCCAAAGTTTTAGTATCAGTTAATAAAGCACTAATGTCTCTTTTGTGTCTAAAGCAAATCTCTTCCCACTCTGCTACATCAGTCATCAAAGCTCCGGGCTGCTAGGCCTCTCAAGGACCTTTTTTACCTTGATCCACTGCTCTATTTCTGTAGGCCTTTAGTAAAGCTCAGCTCACCTCTAATTTGAGGCATCCCTGCCCATAGTAGGGGGTGGAAAATAAATGATCTTAAGGTGCTTTCCAATCCAAACCAGTGTGGGATTCTGTGTGCACGTATATGTGTAACCAGAAGGTTAATTTTTGTACACACACTCATTTAATTGCAGTATATTGAGAAGCAAACTCTTGAGCAGGGTGATGGTACTCTGGGCATGCAGGGTGGCTGCTCTGTGTGTATATTCTTACATATTTGTCTATTGTTTCCAAGTATCAGCAGTTATTTTAGGTGTCTGATCCAAAGTGCTGCTCTGACTGGCTGTATTTGGAAATAAGAATCCAAGCAGGTAGTATTTCAAGGAACAGTGACAAATCCTGGGTCCAGTCTATCTGTAAATTGTGTAGGAGCCTACTTAAGGGGGTGATCCCCTTCCTTAGGATTCTGACTAAGGAAAAAAGATCCATACTAGTTCCTTCATGAGACTTTTCTCTTTCTTTCTTGGAAGTTTGGTCTCGTGAAGGGGCCTGTGCATGGCCTTAACTGTCTGTTCCTTTCCATAGAGTCTGTATGGGCTAAAGAAACATGGATCTATGTCAACAGTCTGCATGTGGGGTCAGATTCTGGTAAGTAAAGGTACTTTTTAAAAACTCCTTTACTTTAAAAAGGAGTTTACAGTAAAACTTTAAAAAGGAAGGATGTTTCTGTGAGGCAAAGTAGTATGTAATAAGGAGGGTTGTTCCTACAGATTTAGTTATCTTTTTCCAGTGAATATTTATTACAGTGCAAACATCTCTGTAAGTAAAGCTGAGATTAATGTACTGCAACCAGTTATGTAGTAATTTCTAATTTCAAGCCATATATTTCTCACCTGTGTGGGCTTTGTCTATCAAGGATAAAAATAGGTGCATTAACTCACTCATATAATCCTTAACTGTTACCTTCAGTGTCCAGGAGCATGTTTTATCTACCATTTAGTTGTTCATCTTACTGCAGTCTCCATTGATCCTGCGGATGCAAATGTACGAGCAAAAAACTATCTGGGGCCTCTGGCCACCTTCAATCGTAATCAGCATGCACATGTAATTGAAAACCATCATTGCCATGTCTGTGATGTAAATGTGTAAGTATCTTCTCTTTTCCTTTTTCCTTCTGCTGCTCTGTCTTTCTCGCCATTACACCTCACTGTTAGTCTTTAATGTTAGACTGTAAGATTGAAATTGAGCCCCTGCAGCTCGATAGTGCATGTTAAACTTAATCCTGTGGCAGGTTTTGGTTTGTTGGGAGGGTGCCTGGTGTCAAATGTGTGCCTAGTTCTGTGTTGTATCTAATTGTTCACGTGTTGTGTTGTGAGGGCTATACTGGTCTGTGTTATCTGGGTGTTGGTGTTTGACCTAGTGACATGTAACTTGTGAGTGTGTGTGCTTGTATCTTATATGAGGAGGAAATGCTGAGGAGGCACACATTAAGATCAAGCTTTGTAGAACAGGAAAAGAGTTTCAAATAGGAAATCACTGATCTCCAGCTTAGAAATCACCCTGTGCATTGAAAGGCAAAACTTGCAGTGTTTGGGATTGTGGTCCAGCGATGGATGATATGTTTGGGTGTTAAAGTATTCCTGATGTCATAGGTTTTCTCACTATTACCAGGATCATTACTGCTGCACCCCTTGTATTTATGTCACTGGTAAGTCACGGTCATGAGTTGGTGGTACCACGCTAATGTTACCCCTTCTTTGGCAGGAGTGCCAAGGCAAAGCACTGTGGAACTTGCAACAAGTGTGTGTGTGGCTTTGATCACCACTGCAAATGGCTCAACAACTGTGTGGGAGAGAGGAATTACTGGTAAGACCCTGGCACTGGGACAGGAGCACGATGCTGCATCAATAATGTCACCCTTCCTCTTCCCAAGATTCTTTTGCATGTCAGTCCTGTCTGGACTCAGCCACACAGAACCACTTTTCTTTCAGAAATGAATAAAAGCAGTCATGAGAAAACTAAATGGAAAATGCAAATGTGATTATGACATTCAAATCACCAGGCATAAAACTCCTACACTTAGAATTGTTGTAACTGAGTATCTATGAGCGAAAACAGAGGATGTAATCTTATTTGGTAACAGGAAAAGCTTATGGGGTGTCAGCTGAGTTTCCTTCATGCTTCTGAGAGCCGGATTGGGCATAGAACCATGTTGCCATCTCTGAAACAACGTGCATCCAGTTCCCATTCTTTTCCTAAAAGACACGACAGTTGGCAGGAGTTACAGCAGCGTATAGGCAGCTCTAATCTGTGGCACATTTAAAATAAAGAATAAGGAGGCTATCACTGGTTATTGTTTCCCAGTTTACTTTCCTGCTCTAGAACCACATGGAAAGCAGAGTTATTATGGCTGCGTGCCACATTACGCTGCTTTCAGATTTTGCGCAGGGAGGTCTTTGTCTGTTGTAAATACACATGACTTGTTTGTAACCACGGTTGCTCTAAAGGGTCACAGTTTAGTTTCTCAGGGTAATGAACCAGAAGTAAGACTGCTAACCAGGATCTATCATAAATGCAAGAAAATGTCGGAGCAGTTTGGGATAGCTGTCTATATCTCCCTCTTTATTAGATGCTAGGAGTTTGAAATTGTATGTGTGATGTTATTGAGGCCACTCAGAGTTCTCACTTTCTTGGCAGGCTCTTTTTGAATAGTGTGCTGTCTGCCATTCTGGGCCTTGGACTTCTGCTGCTCATCGCTTGCTACGTCTTTGCAGAATTCTTCATTGACCCCATGGTGCTTCGCTCCGACCATCACTTTTATGGTACTAGCAGTTCTTCAAACTGAATCAGCCATCACCCCTCAGTATGGCATTAGATTCTGTGGGCTCTCCTCCTGAAGAGGAACTCCATTCCTTATTTCTTCAATTTTGTATTTAGAATCATGGAATAGTTTAGGTTGGAAAGGACCTTAATATTATCTAGTTCCAACCCTTGCCACAGGCAGGGACACCTTTCCTTAGACCAGGTTGCTCCAAGCCCCATCCAGCCTGGCCTTGACCATTGCCAGGGATGGGGCAGCCACAGCTTTCTTGGGCACCCTGTTCCAGTGCCTCACTTGGGCACCCTTCTCAGTGGCAAACAATGATAGGACAAGGGGCAATGGGCACAAACTGGAACACAAGAAGTTCCACTTAAACTTGAGAAGAAACTTCTTCTCAGTGAGAGTGACAGAACACTGGAACAGGCTGCCCAGGGAGGTTGTGGAGTCTCCTTCTCTGGAGACATTCAAAACCCACCTGGACACATTCCTGTGTAACCTTATCTAGGTGTTCCTGCTCCGGCAGGGGGATTGGACTAGATGATCTTTTGAGGTCCCTTCCAATCTCTAACATACTGTGATACTGTGATACTACTCTCACAGTAAAGAATTTCTTCCTTATATCTAACCTAAATCTCCCCTGTTTCAGTTTGAACCCATTATCCCTGATGAAGAGTCCCTCTCTGGCATCCTTGTAGGCCCCCTTCAGATACTGGAAGGCTGCTATGAGGTCTCCATGCAGAACAGCCAGGAACTCCAGGCTGAACAGCCCCAGTGTTCTCAGCCTGTCTTCATATGGGAGGTGCTCCTGATCATCCTCATGGCCCTCCTCTGGACTTGCTCCAACAGCTCCATGTCCTTATGTTGAGGACATGAGAACTGTACGCAGTGCTCCAAGTGGGGTCTCACGAGAGCAGAGTACCTTTGTGAAGATCTTTGCTTACAGAGCTAATTGCTCTTCCTAAAGGCCTTGCAGATACAAGATCTCTGAGGCCTCCAGTGCCTAATGGATCTGCAGCTACTTTTGAGTTAACAATAGTTCTAGCTGTAAAGTTCAGTTAGGTGTGTGTAATACCTGGGCAATCTATTTTGTTTTACAGCTCTGAAGAACCAAACGGATCGCTGGTTTGTGTTTCTTCCTGCAGCTCCAGTCGAGACTCAGGCTCCTGCCATTTTGATCACAACTGGGATTTTTATTCTTCTAAGCCTAATGATTGTGGTCCTGCTAGGTCACCTCCTGATCTTTCATATCTATCTCTGTAGGTATTATGTTTCTGTCATCTGCATCCCAATTTAATCTTCACTTAGCTGCTTTTCATTCTGCATTCACTGTGTGTTCACCCATCTCACAGATATACACATTTTGTGCAAGATTGCCACTGACAAGGTAGAAAATGTGGGTTTAACATGATCCTTCTGATTTTCTCCCAGTACCAGGTTGGCTTAGCAGTATTTGTGTAATATGGGGCTTGTGTTGGGCTTCTGAATTCAAGTGTCTGAGCACCTCACCTGGAACTGAAAGCATAGGGGAAAATAATAGAGAGGCCAGGTTGGGTGAATTGGTTAATTCCAGCTCAGTGCTGGTGATGGCAGATTCAGATTGGCTCCGCATATGGGCTTTTGTGAGTTTCTTCACTGTGCTCCCCAGCACTTCTGTTGTGTGAGAGAGCGGGTTTCTCCATTAACCTAGAGAAATGTGGACAGTTGATCTAAATTCATAATAGAAAGTCTGATGTTCATGTTAAGTCCCCTTTATGGAAGTTGTACCATATTGACACAAGAGAGTTGTGGAATTCAGAGGAAGAGTTTTTCAGAAAGGCTCCTCATTAGATCTCCTAGTTGTTGCTCTGTCAAGAAGGGGTATTTATGTTTATCTGCACATGAGCATCAAACCCCTTTTTTCCAGGCATTGTCTAAAATGAAGCCGAAGCTATTTGGCTGCCTGATTTAAGTCAAAATGAGAAAAGATCTTAGGCTTGCAGTAGTCAGTGGTGCCAAAACTAGGGAAGAAGGGATATGGTGGAAGAGAAATGAGGACAGCCATTACAGAGCATCGTTGGCTGGATTTTGGGTTGTCAGTTAACAGCAATGATGATGCCAACACAAACTAGGTCAGCACAAACCAGTGCAGCTCCAGAAGCATGGTGTTTGATGGGTGAGTGTTTGTCAGCTGGCGTTAACAATACCCTCAGTGACTGCATTGGCCATTGTTTTTCTTTTAGAGCCAATTTCAGCTTAACTTAAATTTGGTCATGCTGCAATTTTGCTTTCTTTGTGGAATTGGAAGTTGACTTTGCTGGGTTAATAGCAATGCCTGGAGATTTCAAACATTGATCTAGCACTGTAGAAAAACTAAAAGCATAATGAATCTGGGGCCACTCCAGGAAGTTTTTGAATGGAAAAGAAAGGATTATTCGGTTTCATACCAAGCAGTATTTATCCTGTCTTTGTGTCCAATTTCCACAAGAGGGTGCTCCCTCCTTGGAGTAAAGACATTCCAATGTCAGAAATACGCTTGTGTTACATTGGTTCTACTCAGGGTTTGGGGAATATTTTTGTTGCTCTTGTCTTGACCTTTTTTTTTTTTTTTTTTCCCCAGAATAAATTTTGAATCAAATTAACTTTCATTTCTGGCTCAATTTTAAATCTCTGACTTGCATGGAAACAGAATTTAATTGTTGTTTAGGTTTGTTGACATTTTATGACACTAAAACCTGCTGCCCTATTGAAATAGGTTCCAGCTGTGCAGATGTACAGTGTGCAAGTCCTTACTTAAAAGGGGAGATGTTACCCTACTGAAGTCTATATTGTGTGTAACATATGAGTATGCATTGCATTTACAATAGGAATTCAGGGAGACAGACAGAGTATGTCTGGTTCGTTCCTGTAGTTTCAGTGGTCTCATCTGAATGCTTTAAGATAGACAGCGTTGGAATGAACTGTGTAACCTCTTTAAAGACTTTAAATACAGTTTACCAATTAAAATGTAATTACTGTTCATGAGTATTTCTTCATGAACCTTGAAAAAAAAATTACAGAAAAAACCCAGCACCCCTGTGAGTGGTATTGCCTTTTATCTTCATATAAAAAACTGGCTTAAGTTAGGTATGACTGTGAATATTTTAGAACCTGGTTCTGTTACAGGCACAGTGAAGTTTTCCAAGTTTCCATCCTGATTTTACTTACCCACTGCTGTCACTCAAAAGGAAGGAAGTTATTCTCAAAATAGTAGGTCCATGTATTCAAAATCACCAGTCTTAATTGTGACTCAGTTCTAGAGGCATCAGTGAAGTAAGGCACTTCAGAAGCTTGGGGGGAAGATATTTTTTTATCTTCAGTACTGAGAGACCAATAGTAAGCAGAATACAAATTAAAAAATAACAGGAAATACAGGAAAGAAAAGGATATGGGGTTCTTCACAGGCCATGTTTTAAGCTAAAAGAGAGGAGATTCAGGCTGGACGTGAGGAAGAAATTTTGAACGGCGAGAGTGGTGAGATACTGGTCCAGGTTGCCTAGAGAGGTCGTGGATCCTCTGTCCCTGGAGGCAGTGAAGACCAGGCTGGATGTAGTTTTGGGCAGCCTGGTCCAGTGGAAAATGTCCCTGCTTATTGCAGGGGATTGCACTACATGAGTTTTGAAGATCCTTCCCAACCCAAACTCTTTTAAGATTCTATGATTATTGCAAAGGATATGCTGCAGTGTTATCTGGCCAGACAAATATGGTATTTTTAACTAATTAGCTTGATTAAAATATTATAAAAGTTACACTGTTAAATATTCAGAAACCAGTGAACCCTGAATTAAAAGTGGTTTACAGCCCCTTGCTTATGAAGCAGTATTCTTAAACTTACCATGTCTTGGCAGTGTGCACTTGCAGTCCAGAGCCCCCTGTGTGCTGGGCTGCATCCTCAGATGAGGAGGTGATTCTGCCCCTTTACTGTGCTCTGGGGGGACCCCCCTCTGCAGTCCTGTGTCCTGCTCTGGGGCAACACCACAAGAGGGATATGGAGCTGTTGGAGGGAGTTCAGAGGAGGCCACGGAGATGCTGCGAGGGCTGGAGCAGCTCTGCTCTGGAGCCAGGCTGAGAGAGCTGGGCTGGGGCAGCCTGGAGAGGAGAAGGCTCCTGAAGGGGAGACCTTAGAGCAGCTCCAGTGCCTAAAGGGGCTGCAAAAAACCTGGAGAGGGGGGAATGGCTTTAACCTGACAGAGGGGAGATTGAGATGAGTTCTGATGCAGAAGTTCTTCCCTGTGAGGGTGGTGAGGCGCTGGCACAGGTTGTCCAGAGAAGCTGTGGCTGCGCCATCCCTTGCAGCGTTTTCTCATTTCCCTATGAACTAGTCCTGTTCAGGGCATGGTTTTGACAGGTCAGATATTACTGATACAACTGTCTTTGTGCAGAGGAAGGATTTTGGCCTGGCTGTTCCACATCGTAGGCATCTGCTCTAACTGCTATGCTTCTGTAAAAAGGAAGAATGGCTTCTAGGCTGTGCACTAAAAATCTTCAGCATCCATTTCTGTGTTTTGTGCTCTAAAAATACGTACCATAACAGGGCCATTGCACGAGGAATGTCTGAGTTTTGGATCCTTGTAACATTTTGAGTCTTGTGAGGAAATCAAGCTGCTCAGAAATGTCATATGCTTTTGGTCATTCATGGAAGCAGGTTGGGAGGGTGGATCTTAAGAACTCATAAACTCCGGCACATATAAACTCTTGATACATCTTTTTGGCATGTGGCAACCTGTGCATTTGATGCTCACTGGTTTGGACATCAAGAGTCTCAATCTCCTCTACAGGACATGCTAACCTGCTGAATTTCTTCATTTAGCATCACGTACCTTCTAACTGCTCACTGAGCTTTCTGTACAATACAGATCTTACCCTTACTGGGTTATGGGTAACAGATTTCCTCTGAAACGAGCTGAACAAATTGCTACAGTATAGGAAGCTCTGCCATGTATATGAGACTTCAGAAGAATAGTAGGACTGTGAGAAAGTGTTTTGATGATGACAGTAAAAGATGTGTAGTGCAAAGGTACTTCTGGGTTATAGTATCAGTCATTTCTTGTTTATAGTTACTATTTGATTGTATATTTTTTCAGACTGTTGGTGTAAGTGTCATCAGGGAGTGGCCTTTCCTGTGCTGACAGCTCTTTCTTTCCTCCCAGTGCGGAACAAACTGACTACGTATGAGTACATCGTGCAGCACCGTTTCCGGCAAGATGTGGAAGAGGTAGAAAATCAACAGGAGTCTGGTTCCTACCAGATAAGATCCAGTCAGGTACTTGTTGTAGTTTCAGTCATTTCTTAAAACCAGCCTCGCTTGTCCACAGTGTAAAGTTTGCTTCACATTTGTGAGCTCCAAACTTTAGTGGCAATTGCTAGAGATGAGACTTCAGAGGTCCTTTGGTGGAGCTGGGTAATATATGAGAAAGTGTAAGGCCTGTAACTCGGTGAATGCTTTAGGCATAAGCAAGTACTGCTTTCAAAGGAATCAATCCCACCCACTTTCTTCCTCCATGACTTGTTTTGGGCCCTGTACTATCTGTTCTCTTCTGCCAGCACAGCTGTTCGATGCAGTCATGCAATGAACAGGGTGGGGGAACTCATCTGGGTAAGAATAAACTTTATATAAAAGATAGTTGAGCTTGTGTTTAGCTGGCCCAGCTCCCTCCCACTCTGTTCACCAAGAAGTCACAGAAATGCCTGTGTCAGCACAAACGAGGTTGACTGAAGAGTGGGAAGAGTCCTGGCCCTGCTGGCCTTTGTGGGCAGAATCACAGGTCATCACTGAAAAGTGAGACAGGCTCCAAGCCTGGAGAAAGAGAAGCTAATCATCAAGCAGATAATAATACCAATGGCTTAACCACATTGAAAAGGAAAAGGAGATCAGTCACAGTCAGAAATGAGCCAGGTAGCTGCTCTTCTTTGATTTGAGCCTGCATAGTGATAAGGGTCCTTGTGACTACCCTGCTGTTGATCTGTAGCCCTGTTAAGAACTCTAAAAGCTCTTTAATATTCTTGCACTGTGCAGAGGCATATACCACTAGGAACTGTGAGGTTAAGTGTAATTTGTTTTGCTGCAAGGCAGCTTTATCTCTGGAGTTACTCAAAATGTGACAGGACAGATTCTATATTGTCTTTAACATAGGGCTGGACTAGAAACTTCCAGAAATTCCTCCTAGTCTAAATTATTCTGCAATTCTCCAAAACTTTTAGTTTTATGCAAGTAAGCTACCAGTTTTATACAACCAGTTTTATATTTAATAAGAAATTTATTAAATCCAAGCTTCACCCAAGTATTCCGTGTAGAGATACTGGGATCTCTCTGAATTCATTCATAGGTTTTCCCTATCAAAGCAAAGTGGAAAGTGATCTAATTCCCTTTCATGTAACATGGAGAACCCAGATTTTCATATATATCCTTTTTACTGTCTTGGAGAAAGTGAACTTTCAGTTTAAACATAACAACAAAATGTTATGTTTCCATAACAACAAAAATATTTGGCATTTTATCTCACAGATTTTTGCTTACTATGAAAATTAAAACAGTAGTAAAGCATTAACTCTAATGATTTCCAAGTTACTGTATTTTGATTGATACAGAAATTATATTTGAAAAGCAGCAGACTCTGTGTGCACCTCTGGGATGTAGTCATTCAGTGGTGTTGTCCTGTCTGTGCTGATGCTTATCCAGGTATGTTTGAATATGGTTAACTTGAAGCAGCAAGCCTGGTAGAAGCAGGGTAAAAAGTTGTTCTGTATTTCAGGACTGCAGTTAGTACGTAGGGGAACAAGAAAGACTGGATGATGCCCAGTAACATTGTGAAGAAAAATGTTAATCCACCAGATTTTCCCTGTTTCTTACATAGCAACCCGAGATAAACACAACCAAATAGATTGGAGTAGGAGTACACCAAGTGACTTGCCTTTTGTAAGCTGTGTTGACTACTGCTTGAACACAGACAAGCTTTGTAATTCATCCGAGATGTTGCAAGCATAAAATAGAAATTATCCTCTTCCCACTTTTGTCTTGGCTGTTCATTCATTTTAGGGAGTAAGAAGAAATATGCATGTCCCCTTTAATCCTTGGGTTTGAGCTTTATTCAAGCTTGGGTATTGCTTTTGGCTTCAGTTTTACGTTTCTCTTTAAGTCTTCAGCTGTGTTCAGATTAAAGTATTCTTGTGCAAGTTAAAGGATTCTTATTTGCTTGTAGAATCCTTCTCAGAACATTCACAAGGTAAAAGCCCTAGATTTGCACACTTAAGTGATTCAGGTGTCACAAAAAACGCAAAAGAGTCAGACATACACAGCCTTTGCCTCTACTACTGTACCCAAAGCAGCAAGCACAGTAACATGTTTTTCTGTAGGCAGTTGCATAGCAGTCTAAAGAAATAGAAACTAAACCAAAACAATGCTTTAATGCATAGCTGCATTCATGCCAGCAGCTGGCTTTCACAGTGATTTCTTTTCACATTCCTAAAACTCGAATGGGATTTCTTTTCACATTCCTAAAGCTTTGAACTTGCTGTGGGCACTGCTTCAGGTTCGTGAGGTTTCATTTTAAATAATACACATTGATTTTACTCAGCTTCCCCCACATTGTCAATATGGTTTCTGTCTTTCAGTGTGTGGTTAAGATGAACCCTGTCTTCACCCTCAGCCTCAACACTTACAACAGACTTTCTCTGTTTTTCTTTATCTGGGTCAAGAACCATTTTTTCCTGATCAGTTCTGCTTCCCCTCCAGCCAGATAACACTTGCTACCTGTAAAGTGCTTGGTAAGAGGAACTGCATCAGGCAAGGGGACTGAATTCATCCTGAAGCTGTAAGCATGAAACTTGGGGTAGACACAGCTGTGATTTGGCCTCTAGAGGAGGTCTGAGTGTGACCAGCATTTGCAAGGTGTCCATGAACTTGGGTATCTGTCAGCTGAGCAGTCTGCTTTCAGCAAGGCTAAGAGCCGAATCCTAACAACCCAACTGCAAGTGTGGTTTCATCTTCCTGTTGCAGCTGAAGGATGCTGGCTGTCCTGTTAAGGGCTGCGGGAGCAGAGGGAGGCTGGAACTCTGTGCTGCAGCTGTAGGTTTTGTCTCCCTAAAGGAACATTGTATTTTCTACTGATCAAGTTTCCTTCCATTTGCTTCTCCTAGTCAGCTCTAATGGTTTAGTGTCTTTCATGTGGCTGCTTTGGTTATACATAATTTATGGAAGGCTGAAATGAACAAAATGGATTTAAAAAGCTCTTTTATTCCCTGCTTGGAAAAAAAGTTGTTCATGTTATTCTTAAGATGTATAATTTATTAATCTCCTTTGAAATGCCAGTCCTGCAGGCCTGTTTGTATGCTGTGGACATCGAGTGATAGAATCATAAAATCCCAGACTGGTCTGGGAGGGAAGGGACCTTAAAGCTCACCCAGTTCCAACCTGTTGCCACAGGCAGGGACACCTTCCTCTAGACCAGGTTGCTTCAAGCTTTGCCCAACCTGGCCTTGAACACAGCCAGGGATGGTGCAGCCACAGCTTCTCTGGGCACCCTGTGCCAGGGCCTCAGCACCCTCACAGGGAAGAACTTCTTCCCAAGATTTCATCTCAGTGTCCCCTTTGTCAGGTTAAAGCCATTCCCCCTTGTCCTGTCCCTACAGGTCCTTGTCCAGTTATTAACCTGGAAGTTGCATAAACCCTACCTTTAATAGACCCAAGTAGCATAATTCTCAAATCAGAAAGTTCTATTGTTTGGCACTGCTAAACCAAATCCCTTAAATTTTTATGTTACCACAGCTGCAAATTCTTCTCCACATCTTTTGCTTTCTTTACAAGACCAAATAAAGTCAGAGCATGATGCAAAATGCAACAACTCTGAAGTCTTTCCATTTTGGCAACTCTCTTATCTAACAATTACAAGAGTACTGAGACTCCAGACATCGATGCCAAGATGTTAAAAAGCAACTAGTCATTTTGGAAATCTCTCTTCTGGCATGTAGAGCAGTCTGGCCAGAGCTCACCAAACCCATGTGCTGCTTGGCACTGGCTGGTTGTGGATGCTAAGAAGGAGTGTGGGGGCTGTAGTCCCCAGCACCTTCTCCCAGTGCTTGACGATAATATTGTTAGGGGCTTCTGGAACACAGAGCTCTGAACAGCTTTGTATCTTCTGGTTTGTCACACAAGCTTTTCTTGTTTCTTCTCGAATCCATGTAACACTCAGCACCCGCAGCATTCTATGCCAGTGAGGGTGAGAGCTTATTTCCATGCTGTGTCAAAAACAATCTTTCTTCTGTTTCTTCTGAAACGGCTGCCTGATTTTTCCCACTTGACTTCTTGTCTGACACCAAATGTGCAGCTCCATGAATTCTTTTCTAGTTCAGAGATCATTGCTTTCTATATAAAATTTGCACTTTATCTCTTTATACCTAGTAGTGTTGTTCCTTGTGTACCATTGTATAACCCCGTAATTCAATACTGCAAGAATCTTCTGCAGCTCTTTGTGGTTGGTTTTCGCTTTTATTGCCTTACAGAAGGGAGTGTCATCACCAGACTCCATCTCCTGTCGATTGTTTATGGATCTTTTGAAGTGCAGAGGCCGCGGGTCTCTCAGGAGCCCATCTGTGGGACATCCAGCTTTGACTTCATTTTCTCAAGTTTGCTGATCAGGCTGTCCAGACAAATAGGTCCTCCTAAGCTTGTTTAAACTTTTTTGGAAGCTAATGCCTATCACATTTCAAATTCCTCTGTCTTTACCACCTAAAATTTGTCTTTAAATGTATGTGTGTATTTATAGTCACTGCACACTACAGTGTTCAAGAGGATTAAGGAAGATTAGCAATGTCTAATTATTCAAGTTTAATTGCTAATTATTCGAGTTTAAGAGCATCTGAAAAGCAGTGTTGAGGTTCTTCTGAGCGTGGTTCATCCTTTTTGACACCAGGGCTTCATACCCTGCATCACTTAGTGCTCTGATCATTTTAACTGTGTCCTTTTGAGGCAGAGCTGAGAGCCCTATTCTGTAATGGAAACTACTTGCGTTTATGAGGCTTATTCATAGCATAAGCTATGCTGCTATGACTGGCTTGGGAGGGAAGGGACCTCAAAGCTCACCCACTTCCAACCCCCTGCCACAGGCAGGGACCCCTTCCACTAGAGCAGGTTGCTCCAAGCCCTGTCCAACCTTGCCTTGAACACTGCCAGGGATGGGGCAGCCACAGCTTCTCTGGGCACCCTGTGCCAGGGCCTCAGCACCCTCACAGGGAAGAGCTTCTGCCTAAGAGCTCACCTCAGTGTCCCCTCTGTCAGGTTAAAGCCATTCCCCTTGGCCTGTCCCTGCAGGCCCTTGTGAAGTTCCTCTCCTTCACTGAATCTTCTGATACATTTATGAAAGTATACAATTTTAAAGTTCACAATGTTGTTACTTTGAATTCAGGCAAATGAGCAGTGTATCACACTTTTTAAAATCCAGCAGTTATTAGCCATACAAGATTCACACAAAACCCAGAAAATACTTTTGTGTTTTTTTTTTCCTGTGTGTTGCATGCTTTCATTTTCCTCACCTCCATTTTGAATTGAAGTTTTTTGCATTCACTGCTTAGCTTCTATGACTGAACTGTGTAACTTAAAGCCTCTTAAGTGATTTTTTGAATCTGGTCCCAGGAAATGATTAAGCTGGTCTCCATAAGTGTGATTTAGTTTTGAGCCACATGAAATACTGGCTGGACTAAATGAATGAATCAGGGACCTCTAATTGTCTCACTGTTGGTTCTCCATCTTCTTTAGCAGCAGATTCCTGCTGTGCTAGCTGTAAGAACAGAACATGTCTGGCATGCAGCTGAGGAAAGAGGAAGACGTCTCTGTAGTGAAAATCCCTCTTCTCCACTTGGTGTCCATATTGTTCTGAAAATGTTACTTCTGTTTTTTTGTCTTTCTTTTAGGAAACAGACATTTTTTCAGGTAACCCTGGTTATACAGACCCTGGTATTCAAGTAGGGAAATTCTCAACAGTAACTTCAGGAATAGGGTAAGTAAAGTTATAGATAAGAATTTTCCAGCAATATGGATGGTGAATGGGAATTTGTTATCAAAGTTATTGATGGACCCGAAGTACTTAGGAGGCTAGACGACACCAGTGTTTTAATGAAGGCATAATGAAATATTTGAGGCTCAGGAGGGTACATACCTGCAGGAGTACTTGCCTGCCCTCCCTTGGGATAATATCCTTCCTATAACACTTTTTTTAAGCTGTTTTATATTGAAATTTCTTTAAAGCTGTCTGATTTGTCTTATAATTCCTATATTGACCTCATTATAGTTATGCGATTTCAGGTTGTCAAAAGATGAATCACAATAGCAAAGCCTATAACATAAGCAAGCACTCCTGAGAAAACAGCATCCTTGCCTCTTAATTAATCCTTGCCTATTAACTCATGTTTCTGGGGAAAGGAGAGGAAACCCTTCTTATTTTGCACAGTTGTGCAAGGAAAGTTACCCTGCAGTTTTGCTGGGAATGCTGTGCAAGACAGGGGGTGCTTTGGTCAGGCTGATGTGTAAGTGCAAGCAAAGTGGGCATCAGTCATGTCTAAAGGAATCCTCTTGTATATCTGCTGTGTGTTTTAGCTTTTCAAAGCTCTATGCCTACGGACATGAAGCTGACCCTGAGCAGAGCTCCTTGCCTGACCTCCACTTTGCAGTCCCTTCTCAGGTAAGCAGGAGACTTGCTGTGTGCCATAAGCTCTGCTGCCGACACTTCACCAGCGTGCATGGTTGCACCCTCCCTCTGGTGCAAAGTGGGGCTACCTCATTTGTACACATGCTGTTCCTGTCCTCGGCATGTACCTGTGCCCTGCATCACTGCATCCAAGTGGTGCTCTCCAGTCTCAGCTCACACATGTGATCAGATGTATTCTGCAGTACTGTCATAATCTCACAGATCAGCTGTAAAAGTAATACAATGTCCTGCTGCTCCAGTGCAGTGACTTTGACGTAACAAGCTGTGCACATTTCTGCAGAGCAAAATCCATTGGTTTATATGTTCAAATATGGGTGTTAAAGCACCTGACCAGGGAAGGATGGGGTGTGTGTAGATATGAATTGTATGAATCAGCTGTCCAAAGTCAAGTATTCTGTGCCCTTGATATTCATGTATCTACATGCAGATGCTCTCTCCCCTTGCTCAGGTGGCAGGTGGTGATGCTCTCTCCCTTTCCTCCAAGCTTATTAATCAAAGTCTTGTCATCTAGATGATAAAAAGAATTCTGTTTTCAACTATAGTTGTATTCTGGATAAGAGCTGTCTCTCTCAGGATGTCCTGTCTTAGGTGACTGTTGGTCCCCTCTTCTACTTTATCTCTACAGATGCATTTGTCCAAAAATGTCTTGTGTGTCCTCCAGCTATATGAGACAACAGCTTAAAAGTACCTGCACACAGAGAATCACTGTATACAGATAATATTTGTGTGTGTTCATTAAATACCTGTTCTCCATCATTGCTTTATAGTAACTCCATCTTAAACTATAAAATACTCTTGGTATTTGGTCATAACTAATGCTCATTATTAAAAATAGGAATTAAAACGAGGCAGCAATTATAAAACCTGTCTCATTACTTTGGGCTGACAAAGTGACTTTCATTCTCTTGGGCTACTTGCTTTCACAGCAACAGAAAGAAAGAGGAAAGTGGACACGTGAAGCTTCTTCCTCAGCAGTGGTCAGCATATCTAAAACACATGCTAGTCCTTGGCCCTCTTTCTCAGATCCCCGGTCAGGTGAGATGCACCAGTCATCTTCTGTGCTTCTGGACTGGATTTCTTGTTGCTGGCACAGAGAAATGAAGTGTGTCATGAAAACCCAACACTGGCAGGAGGTTAACTTGCCTAAGAAGGGAAAATGAGTGCTTCTGAGTGCTTGGAGATACTCTAAAATGATCAGACTTGGGTACACTACTGAGTGAGTGTAAATTTTGTACATTTTCATATCTAATTTTTCATCAGTGTATGTATGATTGTCTTTGATGTTAGTGGATCAGTTGTGTCAGAGTTCTTGGCCTTGTTGATGTCTTTGTGGGGCTGAGGGATCTTTCTCTCTTTCTCTCTCCTTAAGCTTTTTTCTCTCTTTCTTACCGTCTGCAGAGTTCTCAACCATACCTGCTGCCACCACATCTCCCCATGGCCTTCACCTCCTAGTGTCGTCTTTTCCTCTGCAAGCTGCTGTGCCCCCCAGCAGCAGTAGCCTCATCCAGGCAGCAGGACCCCCAGCTGACTATCACTTGGAGTCTGCCCAGTTCGTGGATGAGATTCCTGTGGTTCAGACTCACCTTGGGAGCCTGGCCCTTCATAGGCCTCCTAGAAATAACTCGAGCAACTCTCAACAGCATCCCTTGTCCACAGACTATCCCAGGGGTGACAGGAAGAAGAAGCTGTCTTCTGCTCATAAGGTAAAAAGGAAAAGCTGCCAGCAAGACAGACACATGGAACAACACCTGGAACTTCTTGCTAAAGTTCCTGCTGTGTTTGTAAGTAAGAGCAGTGGAGAACTTCATGTCTCTCAGCCCCAGCTCAGTGGGAGGACCACAGTCACACCACAGAAAATGCACCAACCAGCAACACATGTGGGCAGACATGATCCAAGCTTTAAGGACATAAGGACAAACACCACAGTGGCCTGATGACCAGCTTTCTAAAGCCATAACTACTGGGGATAAGACAAGAGGTTCACTTTCTATTTGTATGTTGCTGATAAAGATCTCGATTCCAGTGTCATCTTCATTGGAGGCAGCGGCGTTGCTTTACCTGATGCTGTCCATCTGCCAGCGGAACTAGCTGAGAGGCAGTAGAAAGCCTGCTGCGTCATTGTTGCTGGCTGCTGCCTCTTCCTAAGCCAGGAGTGCTGTAAGACCAGTTCCAATCCCCTTGTCAAGGCAGAACAGTCCCACCTTGATAGAGATGTGCCCATGGCTGCCACTGGTTAAGGATGGGAGCTTTAGTACTCTGCAGAGGGCTAAGGGACTCATCCGTGCATTGTGTGCTTGCCATCAGGCTGCAGTGAGACATTTCTCATGCTGGACCAAAGGGAAGAGGCAACAATTTGGCAAACCTGAGGCAGGCAGGTTGTTAGAGAGAACTCAATTGCTTCCCAGAGGAAATAGCTGTATCTTCTGCCCCTCTGCACACTCATAGTGCAGTAACTACCTGGGAGAGTATGTATGGAAGAATGAGGCTGCATCTCTGCTGTTCCCTGCACCCTGAAAACTAAATTTCCCATCTGCCTACATGCTGTCAATCTTTAGACCATGTGCAGGGGCTTCAGCAGGTGGTCAGGGGGCAAGTTCAGGAGTGTCCTGTCAATATACCACTTTCCACTGTGCACCCTTAAGCCAAGTCCCCCAGCAGCATAGACTGTATCAGATCAAGTTTGACCTATTCCACCTTCCCAGCAGCTTGGGCTGCCCCCAGTACAGCTTCTCATCAGAAGCTCTGGGATACAAGAGATCCTGAAACCTTTCAATTTCTTGGGCTGCCAGATCTGATTTGAGTTTAGTTAGCTGTATTTCTTTAACTGAATTCTTTTGACTGGGTGGTTTTGCCTAGTAGCATATCATAGATTGAGGAACTGTCTGAAGCTTTAGGCTGCCACAACTGGTGCTTAGCTGTGTAAGACATGAGTACAAATTGGAAGATAAAGGAGTTACATCGATACCAAGGGGCAGCAACCAGAGAAATAAGAAGGAATTCACAGCTTGTGTGTGTGTCTGGTTGCAGGATTTGATCCTATTCAGGACTCAGACAGGCACCACTGGTCAGCTCAGACAAAAGCTTGACGGGTGAGTAATAGCTCTGTCAAAACAGTTGCTCACTGGTGTGAATGCAGGAGACAGCTCCCAGGGCCTGGGCTGCAGCCCCGCTGGGATGCCCTGCACCGGGGTCAGAAGCCTTGTTTTGCCCCAGCCCCACCGCCAAGCCAGGGTTGGGATGGGAAGACAAGTGGGAGCTGGGATCCCAAGCAGCACCACTCTGGGGTGCTGGGAGAGTGGATGCCAGGGGGCTGAGAGCAGCTCAGGGACCCTGCTGCCAGCCTTCCTCCTGCTCCATGAATTAAACACGTTGGGAGGTAACACACACTGCTGCGGCAAATCCATCCCTTCTCCTGGACATTTTCCCACACTCAGCAAACGCTTGGATTAGCCTCTTCCTGCAGCCCTGCGTGCAGGCACCCCTGGAGCTGCGGCTGGCTGTGGGGTGAGCCCGGCACCACCGGCATACCAGCAAGTGCTGTGACAGCCATCACCTGGCCCCGGCATCTGCTAGCCCTTCCTGTGACATGGAAGGCCTCAAAGCCTCTGATGCGCGTGCGGAGAGGGAAGGGAAGGAAGAGGCTGGTCCCAGTGCCAAAGGGAAACAGCTCCTTGTCCTCCAGGGCTGCTTCTGGAGACCAACCTCCAAACGTGGTCCAGATGCGAGACAGCGGCATGTGCCATGGTAAAACAGGGATAAGGATGGTGGGGAAGTGGGGAAACCAAGGCTTGGCCATAATGGGACCCCACTCTGAACCCCTCCAGATGTGGATGAGTTCCAGCTCTTCCAGTCCATTCCCCAGACCCGGCTTTGCCTCCATGAGTGCCTCAACCTCCCCGGCTCCTACCACTGCCTCTGCCCACCTGGTTACCTCCTCCATTCTGACTGCAGTGCCTGTGAGGGTAAGAGTGGTGGGAGGAGGGGAGGGAGGAAGCATCGCATGGGACCATTGGGACAGCCCCACTCACCCCATGCCACCACTGCAGATGTGAATGAGTGCACCAGGAAGCAGCACAACTGCACTCAGGGCAACGTCTGCATCAACACCTTTGGGGGCCACCGCTGTGTGCACCCCAAGTGCCCCCTGCCATGCCACAACACCAGCTACGTCAAGACCTCTGCCTTGTGAGTACTGTGTGTGGCTTGGGCTGCGTCATCACCCTGGGGATGGGTCCTGTGCTCCAGGGGACCATATTGTGTGGCAAATTGCCTGGGTGTGGTTGGCACGCTCCCCGTTGGTGGCTGGGGATGCACTCCAATGCATGGTAGCTTCATCCAACGTCCTGTCCCCCAAGAGCTCCAGGCTGCACTTGCTGCCATGCTACACATCCAGGCAGTGCTGTCAGCTGTCATTCAGCAGGCAACAAGCCCCCGGCTCCATTCTTGAGGCTGAGTTGCCACCCAGTCAGAGGAGCATCCTTGCTCCTGCTCATAGAATCAGAGAACAGTTTGGGTTGGAAGGGACCTTCAAAGGGCATCGAGTCCAACCCCGTGCAATGAGCAGGGACATCCTGTACATCTGAGCCTGGCTCCATCCCTAGCCTCCAGCTGGGACTGTGGTACCCCTATTCCCAGCCTGAGTTTGACCCAAAGCTGCATCCCTGCAAGGCATGGCATTTGCCTGGTAGAGGCAGGGTGGGACAGAGATCCGATGCTGGGCACACTTAGATGTGAGTGTCTTGGGTTGCTCTGCCCAGCTTGTGGCATGGGCTCGGCTAATTGGCAAGGATGCAGGCATCTCCCTGAGTGCCAAAGCACAGCACTGAGCAGCAGTTCCCCTTCTCTCCTGGCAGCCAGTGCCTGGAACCCATGCCCCATAGGGAGCCGAGCCTGCCGCCTGGTCCCTACCTCCATCTCCTTCCACTACCTGCCGCTCCGGGCCAACCACACTGTGCCCCACGTGCTCTTCAAGGTGACCACCACCCGCTTCGGGGGTGACAGCCTGCACTTTGCATCACTGGTGGCCAGGGCTGGGGTGTCTTTGCTGTGAGGCGCTCCGGCATCCAGAGATGCATGCAGGGCACATGAACAGTGTGTGGTGGTGGGAGCATAGACTGTAAGGGTATGAAATCCAGGAACTGCTTTCAGCTGGGTCCCTCTCCGGAGGAGCCCAGCTTGAGCTGTTCCTATTCCTGTACCACTCAATTATCAAATTGTTTTTCTAAGAAACTGAAGTCTGAGACTCTGCTGTGGGAAACCCAGGACAAGGAATTTTCTTTAACAGATCCACATTAGTCCACATCCACGCCTGGAGTGCAGCAAAATCCCAGTGCAGACGCTGGGGCACATAGCCAGTGCCCTGAGTCACTGCACCCAGAGCTGGCAGTGAGGAGCAGGAGCTGGCTTGGCTGCCACGCTACAGTACTTCGGCATTCCCTCTCCTCCTGGCTTCCCTAGGCTGCATGCCCCATTCCGGATTCCTGGCTGAGCACTGAGGCCAGAGCTGCCAGCAGGTCCAGATCTGCCTAGCAGCCAGCTGATCTCAGAGCCTGGGATAGCAGCTACGCACACGTAATAATGACATGGATGTGCCCCAGTGATTTGTCACTTGACAACTATGGCACTGGCACAGCCTCTGCTTCTCTGGCATGGCAGGACACACTGTTTCTGGAGAGGCCACTGCTGCTGCACTGTGCTGGGCTGTGTGTGAACAGATAGATGTACCAGTAGAGGAGGGGGAGCCTTTATCACCCCACCAGATCATAGAAACCTACCAAATCATGAGTTGGAAGGGACCTCAAAGCTCATCCAGTTCCAGCCCCAGCCACAGGCAGGGACCCCTTCCACTAGAGCAGGTTGCTCCAAGCCCCTCTGTCCAACCTGGCCTTGAGCACTGCCAGGGATGGGGCAGCCACAGCTTCTCTGGGCACCCTGTGCCAGCGCCTCAGCACCCTCACAGGGAAGAGCTTCTGCCTAAGAGCTCAGCTCAGTCTCCCCTCTCTCTGTCAGGTTAAAGCCATTAAATGTGTTGATGCATGGAAACCACAACCAGCCATTTTCCCAGACTATGGCAGGTGCAGGATACGGTAAGACAGAGCGGGTGCCATGTGACTGGAGCTAAGCCGTTTGTCCCCTTGCCTAGCTCAGGCTGCTGAGCATTCATCAGGAATGGTTCAGAGCAGGATGGGATATCTGGGGACAAATGCCCCGTGCGTGTAGCCAGCATGGGACAGGCAGGACGGACTCCCAGCCTTGCTGTTGCACATCACCCCAGTGCTCACACTGGCTTCTGCTGTGAGGTCCATGCAAAGTCCACTCCCCATGGAGCTTTACAGTATCACAGTATGTTAGAGATTGGAAGGGACCTCAAAAGATCATCCAGTCCAATACCCCTGCAGAGCAGGAACACCTAGATAAGGTTACACAGGAACGTATCCAGGAGGGTTTTGAATGTTTCCAGATAAAGAGACCCCACAACCTCCCTGGGCAGCCTGTTCCAGTGTTCCGTCACCCTCACTGAGAAGAAGTTTCTTCTCAGGTTTAAGTGGAACCTCTTGTGTTCCAGTTTGTACCCATTGCCCCTTGTCCTATCATTGTTTGCCACTGAGAAGAGCCTGGCTCCATCCTCGGGACACTCCCCCTTTATACATTTATATGCACCAATAAGGTCACCCCTCAATCTCCTCTTCTCCAAACTATAGAGACCCAGCTCCCTCAGTCTTTCCTCATAAGGGAGATGCTCCACTCCCTTCATCATCTCAGTTGTCCTGCGCTGGACTCTCTCCAGCAGGTCCCTGTCCTTCTTAAACTGAGGGGCCCAGACAGTTTTCCTTCTGGAAAGCCTGATTCAGCAGAGAGAGGCAGGAAGGCGCCTGCTCCATGTCGAAAGCTTCATTGCATTCCAGGAGCACCCCTGAGTGCTGGCAACTGGCCCGGCTCCATCAGGAAGCATCCTGGCAGTGTCACCTGGCCCTCACCATGCTGCGTGGTGCTCATGCAGTGAGCATTTCAAGTAGTGCTTGCCTTCAAGGAGAAGGTGGTACTACAGCTGCTCCTGGAAACCTCTGATCCTTGCAGGGCTGGAGTAGGTGAGTCCTCCCTTTGCTGAAGGGTTTATGGGGTCAGTGTGGTTCAGAGACAGGCTGAGCTCTCCCTGGGACAGTCCTTGGGGAATTCTGGCAAGGCAGCAGAGGTATGGTCACTGACCCGAGGCTTCTTTAAAGAACTATTTTAGTATCGCTCTCTGTTGTCTGATTTTTGACTCCTGTAAGAGCTGGAATGAGGAGCTTTGGCTCCTCCTTGGATTACATGAGTGATCGATCAGCAGAAGTGAAGCACCATGTAGCTGTTGAAGTGATAATGGTTTAATCTGCAGGAAGGTTTGGCCTGTGGTCACACTCCTCACAGCTTCCTTGCTGCTGTGGCCAGGGGTACCTGCTGGCAGTGTGACCCAGACACCCACCTGAAGGAAGGTCTCTGTCCAGCTACCACCAGTGCAGAGCTCCATGTGCTGCTGGGCCCTCAGGCTTCTCCACAAGGACAGACACCATGATTTTCACTGGAGGCCAACGAGATGCTCCCAGTTTGGGAGTTTCTGTGGATATGGGGAGAAATTCTGCTGCTGCTTCCAGCTGAGACATGGAATATTTTCTTCACTACTGGCTGCTGGATGTGGTGCCTTGGCTGTGTGTTGAGGCTGCTGGGTGCTGAGTGAAGAACCAGGCCCAAGCAGAACAGGCCGGTGGGATCCCGATGTCCTGAATGTCATGGGCCCCAAGCAGATCATGTGTTTGATTTTGGCTGGGTTTTATGGGAGTTTTTGCCATAACCACATTAAAAGAGGACTGCTGAAGGTGCATATTGGGCACCCAAGAGTGAAAATGGTGAGAGTGAGACAGGTTTAGCTTGTGGGAGAGCTGCTCTCTTCTCCAGATCAGTTCCCAGCAAGGATGAACCTTTGCAAAGGCAGCTGCGAAGCTGCTTCATGCTGGGAAGGCCCTTTGTAGATGCTGCTTTGTGATATACACAGGTTTTTGGGTGCTGTGTGTGGTACCCCACAAGGGCATGGAAGTTCTCCTTGGCAGAGAATTGGTCACAGCAGAAGCAGGCATAGCCTGGGCTCCCCCCTTCCCCTCCTCATTCCTGTCCTTTTGGGACCACAATGTAGATATCCTGCGGGTTGAGGTGCCAAGAGCATTTCTGCTGCCCTGAGTGAGGAAGGTCCATTGTAGACCTGTGGCAGCAAGCAAAAGGAACATGTTACATTGGGGTACTGCTGCAAGAGCCAGCGTGCAGGCAAAGTGGTCCTGGCCATGACACTGGAGGATTGGAATGACCATGAACCGAGTCCTTGCTACAGCCCAAGAGAGAGCTAGGTTAAGGTGACAGCAGAAATCCTGCTGCCTTCAGCTCCCCATCACTGCAGAAACATTGAGGTCTGGCATCTCTGAGCGCCTCCTCCAGCACTAAGTACAAGGTTTTTGCCAGGGCATGAACTCTCCCTTCAGCAGGAGGCAGTGCCCTGGGCTGGCCATTTCCACTGCAAGGCACTGTGGCTTTTTATTAGGACCAAGAAATGCATTTACAGGACAGTGACAACTTTCCAGAGTCTGCAGTCATAAATGGCAGTCACCAGCAGCCGTGCCAGGTCTTGCAGTGCCTGCTATAAGCCTTATTCTTGTGTGGGATATCACCTGGCTTCCTTTCATCTTCAGGCCTGGCTCAAGCTTGTTTTCTCTTTGAAGTCAAGGGGGCCTTCCTTTGGGAAATGCTTTTCGATGAGGCTGTTCTGGCTCTGCTTTTTAGAGCATCCCAAGGGGCTACCTGGAACTGCAGGGAGGGGGAAAAGGAAGGTCTTGCTAGAGCTTATCTCCCCCTCCTCTCTGCCTGGCACTGTGCATCCTGAGCTGGTCCAGAGCAGCTGGCACACCTAGCACACACACACACACAGAGCTCATCTGCTGCAGCTAAGCCCCGTTGATGCCGTGTGGACATGCTGTTGCTGGGGTTACCGTATACATATTGCACAACCTCTGAAACACTTCCTTCTGTTTGGTAGCAACTTGTGCTAGAGAAGCAGTGTTCCTGCATAACCTCATCCCACCCCAGCGCGGCTGAGCCAGCGACTCGTTCCTGAAACAGGATGACTCTGGGAAGCGTCTGGTGCCCCGCTCTGGGAGAAGCAAGAGGCAAAGAAGAGGGAGGGTGAGCACAGAGGGTGCACTGAGGTTGTGCTCTTGTGCGAGCTCTGAGCTGCACCCTGGAGCAGTCACGGCGCTCCAGGACTCTGTATGAAGGTGGGGAGATAGGCATGGTCCTAGCAGGGACAAGCCCAGCATGTGAAGCTGTGTCTTGGTGATACTGAGCTGTGAACCTCGGTGTGCCTTGGGTAAGCACGGGAGTTCTGCAGCTTAGTAAGCTCCTGAGGCAGGAGACACCCTGGGAACATCCTGACCTTCGCTGGAAATGGCAAGAAAAGGCCCCCCGGGAGCTGAGCACTGAGCCATGCACAAGCTCCTCCACCACATCACAGGACCTATGCAACCTCCTCTTCATCCCCTGCCCCTGCCACGGGCTCTGGACCAAGTCACAGCCTCCTCCCGGGCTTCCTTTTCCGGGCTGCATGAGGAGCAGCAGGAGCCAGCCAAGGACCGTGCTCCATCCCAACAAGGCTGTCATGGTGACAACAAATGCACAACAAACCCCAGCCTTCAGGAACTGAAACCTGGCCTGCTCAACCCGACTGCATGGGACACCTCTGCAGCCCTGGCAGTACTCACCCCGATCTCTCCAAGTGCCACTTCCTAGCTCTTTGGGACCTGCAGCCCCCGGTGCTGGCTGGAGGATCTACAGAAGAGCTGCCAAGGTGCCTAGGTCCTGCTGAGCTCCTGCCTGCTGCCAAGCCCTGCAGAGTTGCACGGGCTGGATGCTCCAGGAGTTACCTGGGCTCCTCTCTGGAGTGTGAGCTGCAAGCAGGGCCAAAGGCTCCTGCTTCAGTGATGAGCTGCAGGGCAACCTAAGGACAAGGCTCTACCTTCAGCAAGCCTTAGTCTTAACATGGCAGCCCCAGTTACCGCCCTCCTTAAAGC